GGGCGGGCCCTGAGCGGGGAACAGGGCGGGGCTAGAGGCGGGAGCGTAGCTAGGAGCGGACCCTTGGGCGTGGAGGGGACGGTCGGGGGCGGGGCACTCCCCGGGGGCGGAGCTAAGTGAGTGGGCGGGTCTGGGCTAGGAGCGTGCGCACTGGGAGGGAGTGGGCCCTGAGCTGGGGCTGGGGGCAGGTGGAGGGGCGGGGCGAGAGTTAAGGTCTGTCTTTGACCTAGCTGGAAATACCCTGGAAGTCAGCAATTATATCGCCGTTGCCCATCGCTTGATTTGGGGCCAGCACCTTTCATTTGTTTTACTGTCTTCCCTTTCTCAAACAGTGTTTTGGAAGATATCCTGCTATTTATAGCTCCAGCTGCACCATGGCAAATGGCTTTGTGTAAATTTTCTAAAACTTAATCATAGCTAAATCTTAACACTCCTATCCCTTGAGGTAGTTGTCATCCCCAATTTATGTAAGAGGAAGTATATTCAGAGAGGTGAAGTGATTTGCTCTAAGACACACAGCCCATAAAGGGCAGTGCCAAAAGTCTGATTCTCCAAAGCCTATGCCCTTAACCATTGAGCCAGGCTGCTTCCACAATTTAGCCAAGCAATTACAGAAGCTCCTCAACTTACATACTGTTACATCCCAGCAAACCCATCCTAAAGTCAGAAAGCTGTAAGTCAAACCGTCAGGACTGTCTGTAGTCAGTGACATAGCTGAAACTGCAGTAAAAACTAAAAACAGCAAGGAAAAGCATCAGAGCTAACGTTTTAGTTAACGTGTGTAGAATTACTACTGGTGAAGGGGTTCGTAGGCTTTTTAAATGCTTAAAATAGGTCAGAGACCTCTGTTTCTGCTCAACCAAAGTCTATTAGGGTTCTCCAGACAGAACCAACAGGATATATATATTTAGAGGGAGAGAGATTTATTTTAAGGATTTGGCTCACTATGGAGGTTGGCAAGTCTAAAATCTGCAGGGCAGGCCGGCAGGCTGGAGACCTGGGGAAGAGTAAGCATTGCAGTTCAAATTCTGTTGGCAGAATTTCATCTTCTTCTGGGGAGATCAGTCTTTTTCCTGGGGTTGGAAACCAATCATTGAGTTAGTCCCAGCATTTTACAGGTTAGGGTTGAGGTGGTAGAAGATGGAGTGACTTGCTCAGGGACAAAGAGCTATTAAGTACCAAGCAGTCTCTCCTGTGTTTCCTGGCTTCTAGCCTAGTTCTTGTTCCTCATCACCAGGGTGTCTCATGTTTGAGCTCTGGCCAGTTTGTGGTAACAGGTGACATCTGGCCTAGTCCCCAGCCCTTGCCCTTGTCTTTTTTGGGGGCAGCTGGCCGATATGGTGATCCAAACCCTTGACCTTGCCACTGCACTCTAACCAGTTGAGCTAACTGGCCAGCCCTCTGTCCCTGTCTTTTGCCATGGCTTAAACTGGCAAAAGCCAAGATAGAAAATTTGACAAATCTGCTTAAAACTAAAGAGCATTTTTGTTTGTGTGGTTTTTGGCTGAGATTGATCCTCCTAAGCTTGCTGTTCACATACACTTTTCTCACACTTTACTCTCTGGTGTCTTACATTTTTTAATTAGTTACCAATTAATTTCACATTAAAAGATTCAGGCATTTGGCTTATTTTGAACAAAATCACCAGATCTGGCAATTGTTGTGCTAAATTCCATGTGGTGTGAGACTGGAGTAGAATAGTGGCTGCTCCCCATAGATGGAGGCACGTAAATAAAAATCCAGTTATAAAACAGGCAAAAGATATGAGTATGTATTTCACCAAGAGGAGATGCAGATGCCGAATAAGCATATGAAAAAATGTAAAAGATGTTCAACATCATTAGCCATCAGAGAAATGCAAATTTAAGACTGAGATACCACTTCTAACTTACTAGAACAACTGAAATAAAAAATAGCGACAATACCAAATGCTGATGAGGATGCAGAGTAACTAGGGCTCTTATGCACTGCTGGTGGGAATATAAAATCGAAAGTAATTTAGCAGGTTCTTGTAATACGACCCAGTGACTGCAGTCTTGGGCATTTACCCAGAGAAGCGAAAACTTAACATTCAAGCAAAAACCTGTACACAAGCAGCTGCTATGGAGAATGGTATGGCAATTCCTCAAAAAATTCAAAATAGAATTACCATGTGATCCAGCAATCCCACTTCTGAGTGTAAACCCAAAAGAACTAAAAGCAGGTATATAAACAGGTATTTGTACATCCTTGTTCATACCAGCATTATTTACAATAGTTAAAAGGTGGAAGCAACCCAAGTGTCTATCAACAGCTGAATGTATGAACAAGATGTGGTTTATACACACACTAGGATAGTATTCAGCCTTAAAAAGGAAAGAAATTCTGATACATACTACAGAATGGATGAACCTTGAAGATATGCTGTGTGGAATAAACCAGTCATAAAAAGACAAAAAGTAGTTGGGCCGGCCCGGTGGCGCACTGCGCTAGTGCGCCGCTTGGGAAGCGCGGCTGCGCTCCCGCCGAGGGTTCGGATCCCACATACAGGCCGGTTCCTGCTCACTGGCTGAGCGAGGCGCGGGGGCAACACCGAGGGTTGCGATCCCGTTGCCGGTCCC